CCAATATTTTGTCAATATATAAGTTCTCGGAGTCGAAATTATACACAAAAAAGACATGTAGTTATCATACATTGTATGTATGCTCGAGCATTGGCACCTTTATGTACGAGTGACTACGCACTTTTGTTCTATCTACCGAACCGATGACAGTTAGTTGTCATCCGAACGCGAAAGAGTAAAGACGTTGTCCCACTGAACATCGCATTTTTGGGTAATATTGTTGTTATACCCTTAAAAAATATGGACAAGTATTTACGAGAATATTTTCGAATTCACTCACAAATGATAATGATCCTAGCACAAGTGGTGCTGTAAAAAAACAGAACTTTTGGGAAAGAAAATATTGGGTTGTTCGGAAAGTTTGTGCCGAATTTTGGCAAAGAAAAGCATTAAACGCCTAAACTGCACTTTATTTTCGTCCATATTCAAAAACGTATAAAACTGACAAAAATTAACGTATCGTAACCAAATTTTTTTCCAAATAAGTCTGAAGTACCGACTTTTTCGATATGTATGCATGTCATTTGTTTTCAATCATTCTGATATGTTCAGACCTGTCCTTTCGCCACCTACCAAAAATCAGCACGAACTTTCCTAACAACCCAATAGAACCAAATATAAAACGTACACGTTCATCAAAACAAGCTCAAATCTCTCATTAATAAATTATTTATTATGTTTAACTTAACTTTGATTAAATAGGCGCAAGTAAATACCAGACAACAAATTTTTTTTTTAATTTGAAGAGGAAATTTTTTTACATGTAATCTATAATTGTATATTTTTGTTCTCGTGTTAGTGTACAATTGAAACAGCTCTATATGAAGCTTAAATAAAAGTAAATATTTACATACATACAGCTGTTCTATTGTGTTTTTATCTAATAAAAACATATACATATTATTGTAATTTATGTATTTGCAAACTTTTACTTGTACCACGGAATATCGAAAGAATGTTGTTGTGCCCAGGAAGATAAAAGGTGGCGAAACACTGATTTATGGGACGACCCAATATAATACGTGTCTTCTGAATTATTTATCTGACTTAATTTGTATTGGAAACCCTGAACATTACAATGAAACAAACACAAATAGTTAAAATCAGGATATTTATTATTAAAAATATTAAATGACCTTACATCTATGATTTTTATAAAACAAAAAGTGGTCCATATCGCTGGACAGTATAAAATAAGGGGTAGAAAAGGTCCCGAAGCTAAATGTTTGAAACTGTTATATATCGTTTCCGACTGAAACAGTTATTGAGAACAGAAATAAACACCGCACCAAATGGTTTAGAAGCGCACCGTGTAAACAGCTCGTAAAACTCAGATCAAAATTCTAAATCAGTGGGGAACACGCGGCGCACGACCTTCAGCGTGTAATACGCTCGAATAATCCTGGCTTAATCCTTTCGTCCCGAAAGGTATACATACAAAGTAGCATTCTGTGCCGCTTGAGACGTTAATCTTTGGTGAATATTTGACGCAGAAGCACTTACCAGCATCGATGACAAATGCAGTTTTAAAGCATGGATTTGTGAAGAATAAATAAATTCGTGTATTTTCATGGATACAGCCAGCAGAGCTTCAACTTTCAAAGAATTCTATCACTTATATTCCTGATTAGGGTGTTCCACTGTGGTGTTCAACAGCAGCAGCGATAGCAACAGCAGCAGCAAAGAAGACACTTGTAAGTACCACGAACATTTTAAATTACCAGAAAGCTAAAAAACGCCTTCAAAATAAAGGAGAATTGTACCACACGGAAGTCTTTGCTTATAGCTGACAGCTTAAGTGCTAATTATTATTATTATTATTAGTGCTTATCTTATTTCTTTCACGGAAAAGCTTAAACTTTACTTGAAAGCGGCTGTTCTTGATTCTTTATTCGATTTAGGGGAAAAATACATATTCCGGGACGAAAAGGTTAAACTTGAAGTCGTTGCTATTAACGTAGGAGCTGCACTGCATTTGCACATGTTCCTGCATAACATTTATTGCTGCAGCCACAATATCACGAATTCTTGTGTTCGCTTTTTCATAAAAATCGGTGCTGATAAAAAATACAGCAGGATAAGGGATGTTCTCTTCAGGACCATGCCAACTTGGGGGTGCAAGGCATGCACCGCTCCCGGGCTGCAAAGACAAATATCTAAAATTTATTGTATGTACCTAATGTCTAATTTGAATAACGCAATGCAATATAATCATTAATAGCGTGGAAAGTCTGCGGCCTTGCGGTGAAGCATTACTAGAAGATCATAATGATGTTTTCAACGTTTTAAGCTGAGACCAATAAAAGTTTGTACTTGGGTGACAAATACGTTCGGTGCGCTTCTAAACCATTTACTTCGATTGTACCTATGGATGTGTCGTTCGATTACTCGTGGAAAACAATGTACCGGAATTTTCAACTCTCTACCTCGAAAAGATAATTGTAATCTTAAATTACTAGTCTTAGTTCTACTTATAATGGCACGTAAAGCATTTCTCAAAAAAATTCGGAGACATTTCTGAGATAACACTGTATGTCACAGAATATTTTGGGAATTTTTTGTTTAAAATTCGTAGCGTGAAATATGAAAAATGTCCAAAAATATTAAAGAATGTAGATTTTCTATTAAAACTTTTGGGCGACAACATGAGAGTTATTTCTAAATATTTTTGGAATTCTTGGCTGACAGTGCCACAATTAAAAAAATCGGGAACTAATTTGTTCGGCGTATTTCAGGGAAAAAATTTAATTTTTCTGTAGTACTTTTATACATACATACATATATATATATAGTACAAATTTTAATATTCCTATGTTTGAAAGAATAACATGCAAATAAAGAAAAATCAAATTATCGAAATGAATCGGAAACGAATACATATGTCACATGTATGAAAGTATTTTTTGTTATTGTTTCGCGCTCTGCCGGATTTAACTTCTTTATAATATTTATTTTTAATTATCAAGTACATGACAAACGATATTTACTTCACAATTTTTTTAATAATATATACAAAAAAGTTGCTTTGGTTTTACATCTTTCAGTACTTCGGGAAGTTTTTCATTTTTCACCTGAAGGAATTACAACAGTTATCTCCAAAAATTATCTGACTTATATGTTACAAATGTGTCTGAATACTTGCTGGAATTATTTACATATCTCTATAAGGAAACTGAAACAAAAACTTGTAATATCGGTGTCTCCTGTAATTACCATTCCACCAGAGGTAGAGAGTTGAAAATTGGGGTAAATTGTTTTCCACTAGTAACTTATCAAAGCCCGCTGCTATAGGCAAAAAAGGTGTAAGTATGGTGTTAACTCCTTTATCCAGCTAATCCTTTCCAATCCCCCACCCCTCATGGACAGTAGCTTACGCTTGACGAATCCTCAGCTCAAATAAACAAGGATAGAAAATGAACACAATAGAAAGAAGGAAAACAGAGGTATATTAATAAACTAAAAGACACTGACATCCAACAAAGAAAATTTCATTTTTAGTCATTTCCGTCTTACTTGTATAATTATAGCACCAAAATATAGTTGAGATTTTTCCAATTAAAACAAGCCCAAACAGAAAGTAAATCGACCTAATTTTACCAGTTTAATACAAGTAACAAAATTAAATATGTAAATGGATATAATTAATGGTACAGATTGTGTCGTGTTTGGACTAATTTTAATCGAAAGAATATATTTTATTTTATGGAAATTTTATAGATATTTATGGAATACATTTTATGCAAATTTATAACCAAAGATTGCAAAACTAAAGGAGTATACAATTTTATTCGGTACATTATATAATATTTTTAGTATATAAGAGTAATGTAAAATGAAAATTGATGGAAAGTTCATTGGAAGGTTAAAGTCCTTGAGAAAATAAAATATCATGTGGTAGGAAAATAAAAGCATAATTCTAACAGCATTAGATACGACAGTGTGTAAAACAAGAAAGAACACGTTGAAAAATAAATTAATTTCTTAATAATATAGAGGGATATAATTTCAATGGACAATAATTGACACTTACAGTGCTATGAATACGTATATGATATACAAAAAATAGTTCATCATGCGATGTAAAACGATTTATGTGTCCACGTACAACCATTCAACGTGCACTATAAATTCGTATATGCATTTTATAGTATCTCTGATTTTGCACTCATAGATAAAAATTCGATTAACCGGGGGACAAGTTTTTTACTCTGTCCAAAGAATGTTACTGCATGAAAAGTCTAACGTTGCATGTGCGATTACTTAATAAAGCACAGTAAATTTGGATTTAAAAAAGCTTTAATTCCGAATTTTGTAATTCTTTTATTATTAATTTTAAATCTTCGAATCAAACGAAAAATTACTTGCGAAAAAATAAATAATAATATAAAATAAATATCATGTAAAATGAATATCACGCAACCTGAGTATAAATAAACACGATATTTTATCGTATTTTGTATTATAGTTTTTAAATATCTATACTTCATTTATTTAATAAACAAATAGTTCAAATAAATGGTGACCGTTCATACGTATACTGAAATTGTTGCAAAATTTGTATATGCACAGTGAGTCGTTTAATGATGTCACCAAAATTTATTTGTTGGGTAAAAAAACGTTCGAGGGAAAACTTGTTTAGATTCAAGAGCTCAATATATAACGAAATAACTTTCGTTTGAAACATTTTGTTTATGTGACAAATGGTTTGCAAGAAAATTCAGGTTGAACAACTTACCCTGTATACATACATGCTATATTATTATCTAATAGTTCATAGTTGTGCAAATTAAAATGCAGCAGCGAGGTGCTCATCTCCAGACCCCTTAGAGGGCCCCTCACCCCCACTCCAAGTATATGTCACTGCTTAGAGACAATATGACCTGAGTACCCGCCACAACAACAATCATTTGCAGCCCCGAAGGGAGGGGGAAAATCCACCCGATTCGCCATTTAAATACGCTGTAGAACAGTCCTTACCCTATTCTTACCGATCATTTCAACTGGGGTTGTTCTGAACATAACTGTCACAACTCAGTTTCGAGGTATCTCTCGAAGTATCAGTTTGGTGAAAATTATTGCGTAAGACGTCAAGAGAAAATATTCTGCCTTCATGACTGTTTCCGGATCTGTTAACCGCAAGCAAGTCGCGTTGCAACAAAACGAGGTAACTATTCGATTGTGTTTCTACTTTAACTTTCAAATATTTTAAATTACTTGTTCGAAAATAATTTTTATATCGAGGCATCGGAAAATTCAGAGTTTTTATTTGAAATTAATCATTCATAAAAAAAATTCAACGTAACAGTGTCATTCTATTAGTGTTCAGTGAAATTTCGTTGTATAAGATTGTTTACAAATGTTCATCCATTATCTTCCATTATCTTACATTTATTAGTAACTCTTATAATTTAATATTATAATTTGTTCATTAATTATAAATCATTGTGTACATTTAGGATAAATGTTCCGTGTTGCATATTTGAACTCACTGTTGCAGAATTTGAACACTTCATCATCCGAAATGGTGTCTAAGGAGATGAAGGATTTAAAAGATAGCATAGCCATACGTTTTCTTTTGAAGAGAACGAAGAGGTTCGATCATTGGAAAGAACAGAAAGCACAGAAGAAGGCTCAACGAGCCAGATTGACTTTAGCCACTGACACAGCGGCGGAGTGTTTGAAATACTTGGGTTTGACGCAAAAAAATATGAAAAAACGTGAACGACCGGAACAAAGACAGGAAGACCGATCAAGTTTCCAATTTCCAAAGCCGATGGTGTATGAGTGCGAATTTTGTACGAAAGTTTTCTTTCACAAAATTCCTTACAGAAGACATATGATCCGTCATATGAAAAAGCAATTTCTGTGCATGAAGTGCAATCAAGGATTCAGTTCCAAGCTAGCAAAAAGGAGACACAATCTAAGCTGTCGATAAAATTGTTTGAATTGAAATTGAATTGTTCTATAAAAATCTGTTATACATGATCTCTACATTCGTTATTTCGTAAGGATGATCCTCGTAAACACAAATTTAGAGTAGGAAATTATTTTAAATGATATGTATATCGTTTGATATCTATGTAACTGTAGGAGAGTGCATTAAACGCCTGTACATATATACTATATATATATACATAGATTGTAAATTTGAACCAAAAAGTTTTAAATGCGTTTTAGATATCGTTGTCGTATTACGTTTTCTGAGCACGTTAATCAATGAATTAGTTTGTAAGCTATCGTGCAATTATACATATTATATTTTGCAAAAATTTAAATAGCTCCTTTGTATAAGATTAATTATTTAGATAAATAATAGGCTTATTTTGTATGTTATTATTTATATAAATGATACGCTTATTTTGTATGTAATTGTTTAGATAAATGATACGCTTATTTTGTATGTAATTGTTTAGATAAATGATACGCTTGTTTTTTT